GATAAGATCTCTTCATCAAGAAATGAAATGGCCAAATGTAGGTGTTGGCATGGTTGATTTTTAAGTACTGTAAAGGTCTGTGGGATATGTATGACCAAATGTTAAGCAATGATACGTTCTCTGGAAGTTTTTTTAGTCTGAAGTATCTTCTGATACCTTATATCAATGCCTCAGTCAAAAATAGAATCTTCAAGTTTTAGAAATATTTGGATATTGGCCTGGTAGTGATTAGTTCAGATTATATCAGTAATATGGCTTGTACATTTTCTGGTAATTAATAGCTTAGTTGCATTGTCCAGATCTGCCAGTAAAGATCAAGAATATTAAGCATGTTTTCAACCCAGGTCCTGACTAGAAGTCATTGTTGTTTCCCAGTATCCATTTGCCTTACATTCTTTTTAGTAACAGTACCCATCGTGTTCTAGTTAGACACATGATTACCCAACTAGAGACTTTCTTAGCCTCTCATATAGGGGTGGCTATGTGACTAAATATTGGATAATAGGATGTGAGTGGAAGCAATGTATATGACTTCCAGATCACACTATGAAAGGCAGATGCTTGTCCTTTGCTTCCTCTTCCCTTTTCCAGGGCTAGACCACCTGTATTAAAAGAGTAACCCATTTTCAACCCTGTAAATTAGGGCAGTGATGAAAGAGCAACAAGATGTAAGATGATAGATCCCTTGATCTAATACAGCCTTAGAGTACCTACTTGGCTTGGACTTCTGTCACACTCAAGACATTGCTAACAGGCCTGTGTTAAAGTAAGCAATTTCCTGGCTTGATGCAAGTGCCATTTCAGTTTTTTCATTGTCATTTTTTCCTCTTTCTTATTTAGGAAAAATGTTCCAGGCCAGTCCTTTACAGACCTATGTTCTCTTTCTTCAAAGCAACCTTTGAAATGTTCTTTCTCTTGAATCTCAGATGATCCAAAGATAATTCAGAAACACCTTTGACCATATAATCTTGAAACCAGTGAATAAATCTCATGTCTTAGTGTCTCCCACAGAAACCTAGGTACATGTGCACAGATGTTTGTTAAATGAGTTAAGAAAATAGCATGGTGCATAGTAGTTATTTTCTGAGGAGTTAGGATAGGGGTGAGATAGCATTTTAATGGCAGAAAGAAAAGTGGGAATATTTAAACATGTGTTAGTTAATTATTTCTGTTTAACAAATTATGCAGTTTAAAACCACAAACATTTATTATCTCATATTTTCTGTGGGTTAGAATCCCTTTGTGTCTTAGCTGGGTCCTTCTGATCCAAGGTCTCTTATGAGGTTATATTCAGGTGTTTGTTGGGGCTACTCGACTGGGACTTGAGAATTTTCACCCAAGCTTACTTGCATGGTTTTTGGCAGGCCTCAGGTCCTTGCTGGCCGTTGGCCAGATGCTTAAGTTCCTTGCCATGCCATCTGGGCTTCTCCATAGGGCTGATCACATAGAGCAACAGAGTCAAGAACACTCAAAATGGAAGCCACAGTTTTCTTAATCTAATCTCTTCTGCCATACTCTGTTCATTAGAAGTGAGTCAGTAAATCCAGCTTACCCTCAAGAGGAGAGAATTACACAGGTGTAAATACCAGCAGGTGGGGTCATTGAGGGCCATTTTGTAGGTTGCCTACCACAAACCATATGCAAAGATCTGTTAAATATGCATGGGTATTTTAGCTGAGTATTTTGCCTTTTTACTTTTATCCATCTTTGCTGGTACTGGTTTTATCTTTACTCACTTATTAATTTCCTTTCTCCTGAATAAATAAGACCCATCTAGATCTATCTAGATTAGTCAATTTTTTGTTAATGATAACAATGGTCTCACTTTTACAAAGGAGAAAACTAAGGTTCAAAGAAGGTACGATCGAAAGTCAGACATATTTTAAACAAGGTGTTTCTTGGTTCCAGTGACTATGTTCCACGAATCTTCTCTTTGTTAAGGGACAAATTAGCCCTTTAAAGCCATGTAGTCCTTTAACCTTAAACAGATGATCTAGTCTCTCTAAATCTCTCTAAATTCTCTCATCTATAAAATGAGGGGAACAAGCATTAAAAATATCCACCAGAGAGGGACTTCCAGCTTTGGCTGCATGAAGAGTTTGGTGAATTCGCTCCACAAACACAAAATAAATATATATAAATTATATATATTTTTTATTATACATATATATATATATATATATATATATATATATAAAATAACTGGGAAAAACTGCCCCAAACTATTTGGGCTTTGGAGATCGACCAAAAGCACACAACAAAATGAGACGCATTTATTCTTAGGAAAACTACTAGAGCTTCAGGTAAGAATAGTGGAGGTCTACACCACACTTGAATGAGGCCCCTACTGTACCCTCGAACCCCAGTACCTTTGGCAAGAATCAGGAGTTTGGAAAACCAGCAGCTTAGGTATCTTAAGAGGGTAACTTAGTTTGGGGCAATAAGGTAACAACCTGTGTTTGTCAACTAAAAGTGATGAACTTGTTAGGAAAAAAATGGTGAAAACCCACATATTTGCAAGTCTCATGTTGTGGTGCCAGTTGGGATGAGTGGGGGATGAGCTAGGAATTTAACAGGCAGACCTTGGAAAAGAGAGAACCATAAAGGGATAATAAGCTCTTAACATATCCTTGGCTTACTCTGAAACTATGCATATGTGCAGGAGAGACTTGAGAGTATCTAGCAGAAAGCAGGGGCTAAAGCAGACTTGAGTATAAGCCTTGAATATGCTTTTCCCATCCCACGCACAGATTGGAGAGCAGACTTGAGATGTTTGAGCATATCTTTGCCCAAATAACTAGCTGGAAACTAAGCAATTTAGGCACAGGTTGACCTCCCTAGGAAGCCAGGCTAAAAAAAAAATATGAATAAGAATTAAAACTTGAGCAGAGACATTCAGACTTCAGGGGACTCATATCCTACCATTTAAGGCCAGGGAGATTGAAGTTGAAAAAAAATTCTGAAAAGTAAATCAAATTCCAGAGTTGCTACAATATGTTATCTGAAATGTCTGGTTTTGAATGAAAAATTGAGACATGTAAAGTGAGAAAAAAATGGAACCTATACTGAGAGAAAAGAATGCAGTTAATAGAAACTGAGTAGGCACAGATATTAGACTTAGCAGATAAAAAACTTTAAACTGCTATTATAAACATGTTAAAAGAATGGAAGGAAACATGATTTAAATTATAGAAGAATATAACATTGACCCAACAAATGGGAAATCTTAGTATGAAGAAGTGGAAAGTATAAAAAAGTATTCTTTGATGCTGTTGCAAATAGAAGTGGTTTCTTATTTCATTTCTGATTTGTTCATTGCTAGTATACAGAAATATTTGCTTATTAGCTCTAAATTTTTGTATGTATTTTTTTTCTGTATATAAGATCATGATATCTGTGACTATAGAACATTTTAATTCTTCCTTTCTAACCTGGATGCCTTTTATTTCTTTTCCTTACTTAATTGCCCAGGCCAGAATCTCCAATACGATGTTGCATAGGAGTGGAGATGGTAGAAATCTTTTTCTTGTTCCTCATCTCAGGGGAAAACATTCAGTCTTTCACTATTAGGTATAATGATAATCGTGGAACTTTTATAGATGCCATCTATCACATTAAGGAAGTTTCCTTTTATTCCTAGTTTTCTGAGTATTTTTTGTCAAGAAAGCGTATTGGAGTTTGTCAAATGCTTTTTCTGCATTAATTGAGTTGGTTGGGTTTTTTAAACCTTCATTTTATTAATATGGTTAAATGGATTAATATGTTAAATGGATTTATTTTTGCATGTTGAACTATTTTTGCATTCCTGGGAGAGATCCCACTTGGCCATGGTATATGATCCTTTTAATATGCTGCTGGATTCAGTTTGCTAATACAGTTGACCCTTGAACAACATGGATTTGAACTGTGCAGGTTTTCTTACATGCAGATTTCTTTTCAAGAGTAAATACTGTAGTACTACATGATGCTTGGTTGGTTGAATCCATGGGTGAGGAGCCATATATAGGGAGGGCCAACTTTAAGTGATACTTGGGTTTTCGACTGCATTGAGGGTCAGCACCCCAAACCTCTGTGTTGTTCAAGGGTCAAACATATTTTGTTAGGATGGTTTGCATTTAAATTCATAAGGAATTTTGGTCTATAGTTTTCTTGTGATGTTGGTCTATAGTTTTCTTGTGATGTTTTTGGCTTTGGTATGAGGGTAATGCTAACCTTATAGAATGAATTAGCAAGGGTTCCTTCATGCTCCAATTTTGGGAAGAATTTAAGAAGAATTTGTATTTGTTCTTCTTTAAATATATCACTGTTGAGGCCATCTGGTCCTTGGTCTTTCTTTGTTAGAAGTTTTTAGATTACTGATTTAATATTTCTACTTGTTATAGGTCTATTCAAATTTTCTATTTCTTCTGAGTCAGTTTTTTGTAGTTTTTATGTTTCCAGAAGTTCGTCTGTTTCCTTTAGGTTATGTAATTTGTTGGCATACAGTTGTTCATAATATTCTCTTATAATTCTATTTTTGTAAGGTTGGTAATAATGTCTCTATTTATTTATGATTTTAGTAATTTGAGTGTTTGCTTTTTTTTTCCTCTCTTGGTTGTGTTCTTAGCTTCTCCCATATCATACTTCCTCTAGGGCAGTCCATAACAATGACTCTTTTAATAATGGCCACTTGTACTTAAGATGGTTTTCTGTTTTTACAGTTGATTTTTCATGGCTGGAAAGGCGGCCACCCCTTTGCCTGTTGTGCCCCCTCGCCCTTCACACAACACACTTTCATAGGGAACCTGGTGCTAAACCATTCGTAGATGACCTGCTTCTGGGTCAGGGTGTCTTACATAGCAGAGCAGCTCCCTCACTGCGATCTATTTAAAGTCAGCCCTCGACAGAAAGGATAAATTAAAAAAAAAAAAAAAAAAGGAAATTTTTTCTAACCGAGAAAGACCTTTTCATTGCCTTTAAAATTTTTAGCGCATATTATGTGGTTCCTTTTTTATTCACAGATATTTTCCAATTTATCCCTGGATGAGCGTTGCCTTTCTGCATCATTGGTTTGCAAGTACTGGCGTGACCTTTGTTTAGATTTCCAGTTTTGGAAGCAGCTGGATCTTAGTAGTCGTCAGCAGGTATGGATTCTAATTCTAAAGAAACACTCAGGTTGACCTATTCAAAAAGTATCTTTTTCCTCCTCAGAAATCACTTCTTTCACGCTGTTTTTCAAGATAGTTCAAATGACTGTAATCTATAATTCTGTGCTTTAGTAATTTTTTTTCAAATTCAAGTTGAAGCTAGGTTCCTATGATGAATACATTTTTTAGTTTGGATTGGTAATTTTGGGTTGGTTCTTAATCCTCTTTGTCTTAGTCCTCTTCATCCCCCCCCCCCACCAGTTTTTACTACCTTTAAAAAGAGTTATTAAACTTTTCATTTTTTGGAGGGGTCATTTTATGAACATTAGTTTAATAGTAGAAAATAAGGCAAACATATATATAGTACTGCTGATGTGCCATGTACATACTGTTCAGTGAGCTTTATATGTATTCATTTGATCAACAATCTTATGAGTTGATACTATCATTATCCCTATTAATTTATTATTACTCTTATACTTTTCATAACAGTATACTTATAATGTTATTTTGTGTGAAGAAATGGAAGCAAAATGGAATAAGATAACTTATTTTGTTTTAATTTTCATTTTGATGAATTTTCTAATCCTCCCCATTGCCCGACTGCCAATATGTTTATATGGTGGCATAAATTAGGAAAGAAGATAGTTAATAGTGCTTATTACAAATAATTTGTTGGACTTGTTAAATTCTTCCCTTAAACTTGGTTTTCAGTGCTTGGCATTGGAAACATAAAAAAGATATCCAATAAGAATAGGATTTTATTAGACTACTAAACCTGCTCTAAATCCTTCCATGATATTGTTAGTGATGTGCTGGTAAATGTTTAACAGCTGGCTTTCAAAAACAAATGAGAAAAGAAAAAGCCCTGATTTGTTATATTTTCCAGTTTTTGTTGTACAAATATTTTCACCATGACCCATTTCAAGCTACCAATGTGAGTCACTGAATGTAGTGATATGACTGACTTCAAAAGTGGTATATACTATAGACTTTTGTTATTTGGTAAAAGCCAACTCCAACACACCACTGGTAGCATTTGTGTGTGTTTATAAACACATATACTTTAAACAAAATAAGCAAGTTCCTGAGCATTTGTGTATGAGTTTTCTTTTTGTTTTACTGCCTCATTGGTAAGAGGTTAAGACAGTTATAGACTTAGTCATTTACCTGTCCAGGTTCATGAAATTTGTGTCCAGGGGGAATGGTGAATATTTAGTTAGTTGTGGCTGGTACAGTGGAGAGAGGTAACGTGAAGTAATCCATTGGCTCTTTACTTCATTAGTCTTGGTTGTCTGAGCTATTTGTTACAAACTCAGACTAAGAAGAGCTTTTCCCCTCTCCTGGTAGTTAGCTCTGGAGGTGAAAAAAGAAAAAAAAACAGAGAGGTATGCTGTTTCCAACAAGCATAAACAAAGGTATTTTCAACCTTGGCTCTTACTCCTTGTATCCCTTAACACTCCAATTCTTTCCTTTTTCCTTTCTTTTTTTTTTTTTTAAATAAATTTATATATTTATTTATTTTTGGCTGTGTTGGGTCTTTGTTGCTGTGTGTGGGCTTTCTCTAGTTGTGGTGGCCGGGGGCTACTCTTCATTGTGGTGCATGGGCTTCTCGTTGTTGCAGTGGCTTCTCTTGTTGCGGAGCACGGGCTCTAGGTGCGCGGGCTTCAGTAGTGGCACGCGGGCTCAGTAGTTGTGGCTCGTGGGCTCTAGAGTGCGGGCTCAGTAGTTGTGGCTCGTGGGCTCTAGAGTGCAGGCTCAGTAGTTGTGGTGCACGGGCTTAGTTGCTCTGTGGCATGTGGGATCTTCCCAGACCAGGGCTCAAACCTGTGTCCCCTGCATTGATGGGCGGATACTTAACCACTGTGCCACCAGGGAAGCCCTTCTTTTTCCTTTCTAAATTTCATCATGTGCATTTTCTCTCATTATTATTTTTACACAAAAGACTTGAATGATGTTAACTCTGTTTTCTTTTTTTGGAAATGTGATTGGGCAGGGAATGTGTAGAGGTTGGTTTTTAAAATTTGTTTAAAGAATTGAGATGGCCGTATGAATTTTTCAGCAGATGAATTTTAAGGTTACTTACATGTAGCTTTGAGTCTTCTGAGAAAAACTTTTTTTTTTTTTTTTTTTTTTTGCGGTACACGGGCCGCTCACTGTTGTGGCCTCTCCCGCTGCGGAGCACAGGCTCCGGACGCGCAGGCTCAGCAGCCATGGCTCATGGACCCAGCCGCTCCACGGCATGTGGGATCTTCCCGGAATGGGGCACAAACCCGTGTCCCCTGCATTGGCAGGCGGACTCTCAACCACTGCGCCACCAGGGAAGCCCGAGAAAAACTTTTTTTTTAATGGGCTTTTCTATGAAGTCTTCAGTGTGCTGAAACCCAAAATGATATATTGTCTAAGCTATGGATTTAGTTATATGTAATGTATTCTGATAAAAGTAGTAAAACAATTGAAATGTATATACTTTGGTAGGTATCATCTCATAATAAGTGTGAAAAGTCAAGAGTCATACATCATGATGGCTGATATATACTATTTGTTGGGTTAAAAACAGAACCAACTCCAAATCTCAATACAGTTTTGTTTGTGGGGAGTTTTTGGTGAGTTTGAAAGTTTAAAGTATGTTTTCCTAATAAGGATAGAGTTTTAGGCGTTTAATGAAAACTAACACATACATTATCACTTGGTGTTTTCTGACACCAAATATGTGTTTTTTTCCATTCTGACAACAAATTCTCTGACACCAAATGCGTGTCCAACAATTCAGTTCAATTATGACACTACCTCCTGGAGTTAGTGCAGACCTCACAGGTTAAGGGCTCAGTCCCATAAGACTGTCTCCACTTCATATGCCAGTCACAAGTCCTAGGAGCCACCTATACTTTTGACTGACCAGCTGTAAATTTGGAAGTTCCCCCAACCCCTTCCTTAGGTGTGATAATTTGCTAGAATGATCACAACTCAGGAAAATACTATGTTCACTGATTTATTATAGGGGATGTAAACCAGGACCAGCCAAATGGAAAATATGCATAGGGCAAGGTATGGGGGGAGAGAGTTTGGAGCTTCTATATTGTTTACATCCACATCGACCTCCCAGCACTTTGATGTATTCACCAACCCAGAAGCCCTTCAAATCTCAGTGTTCAAGAGTTTTTATAGGGCTTCCCTGGTGGCGCAGTGGTTGAGAATCTGCCTGCCAATGCAGACAACACAGGTTCGAGCCCTGGTCTGGGAAAATCCCACATGCCATGGAGCAACTGGGCCCGTGAGCCACAATTACTGAGCCTGCGCGTCTGGAGCCTGTGCTCCGCAACAACAGAGGCCGCGATAGTGAGAGGCCTGCGCACCGCGATGAAGAGTGACCCCCACTTGCCACAACTAGAGAAAGCCCATGCACAGAAATGAAGACCCAACACAGCCATAAATAAATAAATAAATACATTGTGTATTATTTAAAAAAAAAAAAAAAAAAAAAAAAAAAAGAGTTTTTATAATCCAGTCTCCAGCTCCCCTTCCCTCCTAGGAAACCGGAGGATGGGGCTGAAAGTTTCCACCTTCTAATCACATGGTGTTTGGTCTTTCTGGTGACCAGCCCCCATCCTGAAGCTATCTAGGGGCCCCAACTTAAGTCATTTCATTAGTATAAACTCAGGCATGGTAAAAGGGGCTTGTTAAAAATAACAAAAGACATTCCTATCACTCAGGAAATTCCTAGAACTTTAGGAGCTCTGTTTCAGGAACTGGAGACAAAGACCAAATATATTTTTTTATTATACCACAGTTCTTATTATGCTTTAATATTAAGTAAGAAGGTTTTCTTTTGATTGTGGTTTTCATGCTATAATCTAATTATTATTTATTGGGGAGAATTTAATAAAAGAATAGAATGTAAGTTTCTACTTTCAGCAGATTTTTAAATTTATTGCTTTTCTTCTCTCTCATAGGTCACTGATGAATTATTGGAAAAAATTGCATCAAGAAGTCAAAATATAATTGAAATCAACATTTCTGATTGTCGCAGTATGTCTGATACTGGCGTGTGTGTTCTAGCATTTAAATGTCCTGGACTTCTTAGGTATACAGCCTACAGGTGTAAACAGCTTTCTGACACCTCTATTATTGCGGTTGCTTCTCATTGTCCTTTACTTCAGAAAGTTCATGTAGGCAACCAGGACAAACTTACTGATGAAGGACTCAAACAGGTAAATTTTAGCATCTATAAAATGGTTTTACTTGTATTAACTCAACATGTTTTCTTGCAGCAACACTTTGAAAGATTGCTATGTTGTAGCAACATACATAGCAACATACATATTGTAATGTTCAGAGACTAAAATAAGTCATCCTTTTTATGTATCTATGAATATTTGGGTTAGTGAACTAGAGTGCCATGGCTGTAATTGATAAATTAACTTTTTTGTGTTTTTTAATAAGTGCCTGATCTTCTTTGACCAGCCATTTTATTAATTTATTCCTTTGTTACTTAAATTTTATGCGAAATTTTGCTTTAGGTAACAACAGTATGCAGTTTGGGTCAGCATGAGGTTTTAAAAATTAACTTTTAATTCCTCTTTTATGTTACTAGATGACATGCTTACATGTTTTAAAATATCTTTTAAATGGAAGTCCAAGTTAAGGAGTATAAAATGAAGAAAAAGATGGTAATTACCTATATTAGGTGCAGTAATTGGATTAAATATAGTATCATGTGTATTTTCTGGTTGATTTACTTTCTTTGGAAATGGTATTTAAGGTTTCTTGTCTCAGAGTGGATATTGAATGGATTCTATGTGCCAGTCCCTGAATTTGTGAATATTTTGAATATTTAGTAATGTTCCCTCTATTGTACTAGGCACTTTTTGTAGTTTTAATTTAACCTTTGAAATAACTTTGTGGAAATAGTTGATTTAAACTCATTTTGTAAAGGGAGAGATTAAGGCTTAGAGAGATTAAGAAACTTGCCTAATGTGTAGTAGACAGTGGACCTGGGATTTGAAGCTTGGATTCTCCAAAGCCCTACTGCCCTACAGTCTTTCCATTTTTCCATGCCAATAGACTGTACTCTTCTAGACCTTGAATAAAGGAGCCTGTTCCATGAGGGCAGAGGCTATGCACATTTACTACTCTACCCACAGTGCCCTTGGCAAACATTTGTTGAAAGAAAGAATTAATAATTCCACTCAAGAACTTTGTCAGAACTATTTTTTAAGTTTAGAATTGAGATGTAGTCCTAATAGTTCCCAGGAAAAGCAGAGTATCAGTAAAGTCCTAGACTTAAGTCTGATCTGAGACGAAGTCAGAAATAATATGAAGATCCCTAAATTTATTTATTTATTTAAATATTTATTTATTTGGCTGTGCCGGGTCTTAATTGCAGCACGTGGGATCTTCATTGCCACATGTGAGATCTTTGTTGCGGCATGCAGGATCTTTTTAGTTGCAGCATGCAGGATCTTTTTAATTGCAGCATGTGGGATCTTTTAGTTGTGGCATGCAGGCTCTTAGTTGCAGCATGTGGGATCTAGTTCCCTGACCAGGGATTGAACCCAGGCCCCCTGCATTGGGAGCACGGAGTCTTAACCACTGGACCATGAGGGAATTCCCTGAAGATCCCTAAATTTAAACACTGCATATGAATTTACTGAAAGCTCAATATTAGAAGAAATTTGGAAAGACAATCCTAAATAGTACTAGGTGTGTCAATACAATTTATGTGTTAAGAATCCTGCAATTTATAAGGGAGCCTATTTTGTCTGCACAGGCTAATTGTGCGACAACAGTCTTACCTGTTGTAATATTTGTCCTGATCTATTTCTGCTATGTACAGGATTATTCACTAGCAAAGCATTTTATGAAGTTCTTAAGTCTGTTCAAACAAATTAATCTTTGAGGTAAATTATGAATTTTATAGACATGGCGTGATTTTTTTTGTGACTTCACAATGAAACATTTTAAAGTCTATGTATTTATTAAGAAATGGATTAAATTTGCTATATATTTAAATCTGATATAACACAAATAGGTACCAGTTGACCAGAGTGCCAAGGGTGTTCCTTGTAAAAATAAGGTCATATTTATGGTTGAAATAGAGGGAAACTAAAAAGTTCTTTAAGGAACAAGACTTAATATGCCAGTTAAATATTATGAATTTATCTAATATTTACAGCTTTGAGACTAATTATGTAAATCTTCCCTAGAATGTGAAGTATTTTGGAACCCATTAATTTATGATAGATTAGATGTTTGCTTCAGATTTTTATGGTTTCTGAATTATAAATTAGTTATATATAAAGTAATAATCTGATAAAAGTATAAAATAAATCTTTTTCATTCTAAGTAATTTTTAAAAGTAATTGCATATGAACCTCATTGCAGTACAATGAGTAATCCTTTCCTATGCTTAAGATGGTGCTGTGGTAGGGTGTGTCCTCTTCTGGCCTCTTTCTTCTGTTGGGATAGTGTTACGGTATAGTAGAAAGAGGATGGCTTTCATATATACACAAAATAGAAGTAAAACTTTTATGAAGTAATATATAGCCTTATGAACAGTGAAATTGATATTTTCTGTTCTGTACTATTATGTTAAATAAATGTTGATCTTGATCCACTCAGTAAATTAATTTCATGACCCAGTGATATTTGATAAGCTCTGAACTGATGTGGACTACATTACACTTTTAGTGAATTAACAACTTAAAAATGTATAATAAAGTTTCAAAAGGCCTAGTATGGAGCTTTCCTGGTATTTTTTTCTTTTTTACTCTTAAACATAGCAATTGATTGAATTGTTGATTCTGTAGATCAAGTTGAAAGGTTTGGAAAGCATGGACAGAGAACTAAAGGAATTCAAGAAAATGATGCATGAACAAAATGAGAATAGCAATAAAGAGCTAGAAAGTATAAAAAGGAATGAAATAGGAATTTTGGTGCTGAAAAGTATAGTTACTGATACAAAAAATTTAGTAGAAGGATTTAGCATCAAATGTGAGCAGGCAGAAGAAAAACTCAGTGAACCTGAATAGGACAAATGAAATGATCATGTCTAAGGAGCAGAAGAAGAAAGAATGAAGGAAAGTGAACAGAGTCTAAGGGACCTGTGGGATACCATAAAGTGAAGGGAGAGTGAAAGAGGCAGAAAGAGTATTTTAAGAAATGATATGGCCCAAACTGTTCAAATTTGGTGAAAGACATGAATCTATACATCCAAGAAACTCAGTGAACTCCAAGCAGGATGAGACCTACATTAAAACACATAATAGTCTAATTTTCAAAAGCCAGAGCCAAAGAGAATCTTGAAAGTAACAGAGAAGTGATTCATAGCATACAAGGGATCCTCAATAGGATTAACAACTGATTTCTCATCAGAAACCATGGAAGCTAGAAAGCAGTTGGCTAACATATTTAAAGTGTTGAAGAAACAATGTCAACCAAGAACTCTGTATCTGGCAAAACTGTTCTCCAGGAATAAAGGTGACATTAAGATATTCCCAGGTAAACAAAAACTGAGGAAGTTCGTTCGTAGACTTGCCTTACAAGAAGTGGTAAAGAGAGTTCTTCAGGCTGAAATAAAAAGACACTAGATAGTAACTGAAAGCCATATGAAGAAAAAAAGAATGCGAGTATAAGTAACCACATAGGTAAATGTAAAAGATAGATTTATTGTATTTTTGGTTTTTAACTATTTTTTTCTATATGATTTAAAAGGCACATGTATAGAACAGTATTTATAAATCTTTGTTAATGGGCACATAATGTATCATCTGTGGTAATAACCATATAAAGTAGGAGGGATAGAGATGTACAGGAATAGGGTGTATACTATTGAAACCAACATGGTAATATTTAAATAAGGTTATTATATAAGTTTCAGATGTTAATTGTAATCTCCATGATAACCATTAAGAAAATAACTAAAATATATACATGAAAGTAATAAGAGAATCAAATGGTACACTGCATAAAATCTACCAAATACAAAAAGTGCAGTAATGGAGGAGCTGAGGAACAACAATAAAAAAAGTATGAAACATACAGTAAACGAATAGCTAAACGGTGGAAATAAATCATTCTTTATCAGTACTTTAAATATAAATAGATTAAATTCTCTAAAAGGCAAAGATTGGCAGAATGAAAAAAAAATAAATCATGCATATAAAGTCTAAAAGAGACTCATTTCAGATACAGGCACAATGAGGTTGAAAGTAAAAGAATGGGAAAAGATATTCCACTCAAATACTAATAACCAAACAGAGCTAGAGTGGCTATTCAGATGGTCCCCAGCTTGTGATAGTTCAACTTAAAAGTTTTTGACTTTATGATGGTGTGAAAGCCATATGCATTCAGTAGAAACTGTACTTCAGATTTTAAATTTTCATCTTTTCCTAGGCTGGCAGTATGTGGTATGACACTCTCTTATGATGCTGGACAGTAGCAGTGAGCTGCAGCTCCCAGTCAGCCACACAATCATGAGGGTAAACAACTGATACACTTATAACCATTCTGTACCCATACAACTATTCTCTTTTTCAATTTCAGAGAAATTACATAAATACTCAATACTTTATTGTAAAACAGGCTTCATGTTAGATGGTTTTGCTCAACTATAGGCTAATATAAGTGTTCTGAGCCCATTTAAGGTATGCTAGGCTCAGCTATGATGTTCAGTGGGTTAAGTGTATTAATGCATTTTTGACTTACGATATTTTCAATTTACGATGGGTTTATCAGGATGTAAGCCAATTGTAAATTGAGGAAGATCTGTATTATCACCAGAAAAAAAATTAATTTTAAGTGAAAAAAGGTTGCAGGAAACAATGAAGGTCATTATGTATTGATAAAAGTTTCAATTAATCAGGAAGATACAGCAATTATAAACATATATGACTCAAACAACACAGCCCCTAAATATATGAAGCAAAAATGGAAAGACTTGAAGGGAGGAAAAGACAGTTTTACATTAGTAGTTGGAGACTTTAATAATCTACTTTCGGTAATGGAGAGAACAACCAGAAAAGATCAACAAGAAACTAGAGGACTTGAACAATGCTGTATGCCAGTTATACCTAACAGGCATATATGCAGTAGGCTACACTCAACAACAGAAGAGTACACATGGAATATTCTTAAGATTAGATGATATTTTGGACCACAAAACAACTTTTAGTAAGTCTGGCAAGATTGAAACCATGCAAGTATCTTTTTT